GAAGGAAGGAAGGAAGGAAGGAAGGAAGGAAGGAAGGAAGGAAGGAAAGAAAGAAAGAAAGAAAGAAAGAAAGAAAGAAAGAAAGAAAGAAAGATGAAAAGGGAGAAAGAACAATGCAAAAATGGTGTGTGTGTGTGTGTGTGTGTGTGTAAATAACCCCACCAGACAACTACAAGTAGTCCTCAACCTACAACTGCTCGCTTAGTGACCAAAATTAGAAATACCTGAAAAAAGGGAACTTAAACCCAGACCTGAAGTTCCGAAGGTCGCTGCGGCCAGGAGATCAGCAATATGGCTGCATCGATGCTGTTTTGCGGCATCTCGTGGTCGTGCGACTGCATTTGCTGTGTTTTGCCAGAAACCAGGACTTGTTTCCAGATGGGTGCCATAGCAAACAATGAGTTCACTTAACAGCCGTGGTATTCATTTAACGACAGTATTTGTTTTATGATCACATATTTGCTTAAATGACCACCCCAAAAACCATAATAAAGTACGTCTTATGACTAAAGGGAGCAGTCTCCCTTGCGGTCACAACATGAGACTACTTGCATAAACAACTTCAGGAGGGATTCTCACTGCTCTCTGGGCTTGGTGGCTTTTCCTGCAGACGTTTCATGGCCCAACTAGGGAACCTCATCAGTGCTAGAAGGAAGGAGGGTTCTAGCTTCTAGAAATGATAAATGTTCCCTAGTTGGGCCATGAAATGTCTGCAAGAAAAGCCACCAAGCCCAGAGAGCACTAAGAACTTCACAGCCTTCTCTTGTCTACATCCTGATGATGTTACCTAGTTGGGTCCTGAAACGTCTCAAAGAAAACCCCCAAGCTCAGAGACCACCAAAGAATCCCCAGTTTAACCCTGAGCTACAAAGACCACCTGCTATCACTACAACCTCAGTACTATAACACTTTCCCTACTACAGGTGGTCCTCAACTAACAACCACAACTAAGCCCCAAAGTTCTGTTGCTCAGTGAAACATTTGGCGAATTTTGACTTGTTTTACGAGTCACAGTTGTTAAGTGAATCACTGCAGTTGTTGAATCACACGGTTGTTAAGTGAATCTGGCTTCCCCATTGACTTGGCTTGTCAGGTCGCAAAAGGGGATCACACATGACACCGAGACACTGGAACCGTCATAAATAGGAGTCAGTTGCCAAGTGATCACATGACCATGGGGGGACTTCAATGGTTGTGTGAAAAACAGTCATAAATCATGTTTTTCAGTGCCGTTGTGACTTTGAGCAGTCGCTAAACTGTCCTAAGTCGAGGACTACCTGTATCTTCTCATATCACAATTGACTCAACTGAGATTCATTCATCCCTTGATAAAGATTTATGTGCGTCCTTTCCAGGTACGACGAAGAAGGGAAGAAGTGGGAAGGGGTCCTCCGAGAGATCCAATACGCCTCCGGGGCCACGTTTATTCCGGTGCGCCTCAATGTCTTGCGGCTGACGAAGATATGACCCAGGGCCGAAATCCCTTCCAATCTGGGCCGCCTTCCTCACGTCCCTCGTTGCCTAATTTCGAAGTCTCCATCATGGCGCCTCGATTTGGCTTCGTTAGGTCGAAAATACAAGATTCTGGTTTTGCAAAACCTTGCGCTGTTGCCTCCGTCGATAAACCTGGATGAGGGCAGGGAGGGTTCGCGTCCACGTTCCGGTTTTGGGGTGTGGTGTGACAATCTGGGCAACTAGATTTTAACATAGAGTCCACTCAAATCTGATTATTATCATGATTAAACAGTGTTGGAAGGGACCTTGTAGGTCATCTAGTCCAACCCTCCCCCCAAGCAGGAGATCCTATACCATTTCTGACAGCTGGCTGTCCAGTCTCTTCTTGAAAGCCTCCATTGTTGAAGCATTCACAACCTCTGGTGGCAAGTAGCTCCACTGGTTAATTGTTCTGTCAGGAAATTCCTCCTTAAATTCCAGGTTGCTTCTCTCCTTAGTTAGTTTCCATCTGTTGTTTCTTGTCCTGCCTTCGGTTGCTTTGGAAAATAAGTTGACCCCCCTCTCTTCTTTGTGGCAGCCTCTCCACTCCTGGAATTATTGTTATCATGTTGACCCAACACCACCAATGCTTCTTTTCGTTAAACTAAACATGCCCAAATCCTGCAGCCGTTCTTCACACGTTTTTGTCAGAAAGTACCAAGGAAGTACCAGGCTTTTAATCATCTTAGCTGCTCTTCTCTGCACTTGTAAATTATAAATTGAGGATTTTCTATATTGCTGGGATGAAAAGGTCATTATTATTTTTTAAACAAAAACCCTTCACCTTTTTAACGATCACCCTTCGCGAAAGAGCTGTGGGGCAGAAGCTGTGGAGGCAACATTTTTGACTGACTGTAAAACACAGCAGGAAGGAGTTAAAGAGAAGCAAGAGAAAAAAAAATCCCCACCCTTTTTAATTATGAAAACTTTTTTTTTTTTTTTATTGAAAGCAATCTCAGGTATAGTTCTGGCCAAAGAAGAGATTTTTTCCCAACCCGATACCCTCCAGGCATGCTTAAAGAATTCCTGAATTCTTAAAAAAAATGCTTACTGTAACGTGAACGCATCTGGAGACAGGCACTCAAGATGGTTTTCGCACAATAATTTTAAGAGGCATGGACTTCAACTCCCAGAATTCCTCAGCTGGCATATTTGGACTTCAACTCCCAGAATTCTCTAGGCAGCATGGTTGACTGGGGAATTCTGGGAGTTGAAGTCCACACGTCTTCATGTTGCCAAGGTTGAGAAACGCTGCAGTTCAGGCAACCCTCGACTTATGACTGGTCATTTAATGACCAAAGTTACAACTTACCCGGAAAAAGGGAGTTATGATCCAATTCCAAAATTGTGAGTCATGCCCACCCCCCGGTCACCCGACCGTGCTTCAAATGCTTGGCAACATGGCCGCATTTATTAGCATCCTGCAATCGTGCGACCTCACCGTCGGTTTTACGACCACTGCATTCACTTAACAACTGCAAATAAGGTCGTGCGAGGCAGACCTGATTTACCGCCGTCACAATATAATGACTGTAATGGGAAGGCCCCGTTAGTTGTTTGTTGCCTTTTCCCATTGTGCTCACAATTACAGTCTCTGCAGCAAAACCACCATTTTATTCTAGATTTAAAAGGTGAGATTCCGAGTTTAGTGTAAGCTTTGGGCTACTTACATTTAGCTTTGTAATGACCTGAGGTCCTTAATCCCATTCCCAATCAGGAATCAGGGCGGGGGTGGCAGATGCTGACCCCGTTTCCAGGAAGGGAGTGTTGAGTTTCACTCTTGTGAAATCTTTATCACTAGTGCAAAAAACCAACCACCCTCCTTTCGGCAGGTGCAGGCAGGCCACAAACACATGAATCACACCGAGTGGTAACGCAGATCAGATCTCCTTCAAAACTCGGCTAGCAAAAGAGTCCCCCAGAGGACTAGCAGCTTGGCAGGAATTTCAAACGCTTCATTTCATCCATTCGGAGAAGGGCATTGGGAACCATGGGCTGCGGGAACGAGAAGCAGCCTGAAATACATCTAAATGAGCAACTGCCCCGTTCCCCACCCCCCTTTTCCCGTTAAGGGAGTTTGGGTGCGAATCTAGCACGTATAGATGGAAGGAGAGATCAATGATCCCACTCTAAGCATATTGATTCAGATCCATTCCTAAACCTTTCTCCTGGCACTGCTTGCTTCTGAAATGAAAGCACAGGTAATCCTAGGGTTATGACCGATCACTTAGTGACCACCTGAAGTTACGACAGAAACCCCACCCTCCAAAAAAGGGGATCAGGACCCAGTTTCTAACAGTCAAGACCTCCCTAAGGTCATGTGACTGAATTTCAGGCACTCAACGATGTCCGGCAGACACAGGAACTACGTTTTACAACGGTTTTGTAAAGCAGCCCTCGCTACCATTTTCAGCAAAGCCGTATCTATAGGGGGAACCATAAATCTGCTCGACCATGGCAATGTTTAGTGAACGACACCGCAATAAAGCTTAAAAAATGTCCTATATTGGGACAGCTCCTTTCTGGTCTTAATTAAAGGATTACCTGTGTGTTCTCCACCTGTTCGAAACATGTCCACCTGCTTCAGCATTGAAAGAGGACCAGGATTGTGGAAAAACTTTTCCCCAGAAGCTAGAATATGAATGTGAATATGAATATGAATATGAATATATATATATGCTTAAAAGAAACACCACGATGTTTTTTTCTCCAACAGGAATTCTTAAGATGCATTTTTAAAAAGGGTCTCAGATTTCCCCTTCTATAGATCTGTACAGAATAAAGTGCTTTGTTATAAAGTATTTTTTATTTCCAATACTAAGAGTTATTGGTGAATGTTATTTTTTCCTTTTCTGGATAATTGGGCAGTAGATACCAAATGCCATAAAAATATTATTAGGTGGCCAAATGGCAGGCATTTATAAAATTAGTTTTCCTTCCTTCCTTCCTTCCTTCCTTCCTTCCTTCCTTCCTTCCTTCCTTCCTTAATATACTATGGATCAAGGGTCTTCAAACTTGGCAAGTTTAAGACTTGTGGACTTCAATTCCCAGAATTCCTGAGCTAACATGACTGGAGAAGGAATTCTGGGAGTTGAAGTCCCACAAGTCTTAAAGCTGTCAAGTTTGAAGATCCCTGCTATAGATAGTCCTCAACCTACGACCATTGATTACCATTCAACAATACAACAATGCTAAAAAAAAGTTACAATTGGTCCTTGCACTTATGACTGCCGCTGCGTTCAAAGTTCATGCACTTGGCAACCGACATGAACTCGTGGCAGCTGCAGATCCCGGGATCACGTGATTGCTATATGCAACCTTCCCCGCCGGATACGGACAGCAAAGTCCATGGAGCAAGCCAGTACTCGCTTAACGATCGTGGCATTCATTTAAAAGACCAGCTGATTTGTGACCAAAAAAAATGTCAATTTGGACGCGACTCAACAACAGCATCGCTCAGTGATGGAAGTTCCTGTTCCAATTGTGGCCATAAGTTGAGGACTACCTGTAGCGAAGTTCTCTTTCCAAAATTAAACACCACTTTTAAGAGTTTGATCAGGAAGGACTAGATGAGACCATCAACAACAATCCATGTGTGTCTTTTGTCCACCAGTTCATTGTTATTGCACATTGGCTGACGCCACAGCCTTTCCAAAGCGTTTCCCTTGTCGGTTCATGCATTGTGGCGGTTGTGCCAGGGGCCAGCCCTGCTCACGTGGACATACACACCAACAAACCAAAGTCCTGGATCTTATTGTCAAAGAAACTTTGCCAAAGAAGTGAACGTTGGCTCAAGGGACACCTGTGCAACACCTAGGGTGTGCATCTCGACAGCAGAATGAAGGGGCAATCTTTGAAACAGGGCCCATTTTGACTCGAGGGAGGGAGTTCTTTGCCTTGGAAATGAAAGACGACATAGCCAATGACGCTCCCAAGTTCTACTCCTTTTGGAACAACTCACCAAGGTCCTACTGCAAAAGAGCTCTTAGGATTATTAGATAATAAAGTGCAGAAAAGTTAAAAGAACCAATGCTTCGTGTTAAAAAATGTCTCAAGGTCTTCCTCCAAAGAGCTTGCGGAGAAGATCATCTTGGTTTTAGAAGAAGTTCCTCAGGAACTGCATTCTCCTCAGGAATAGTAGGTGAAGAGTAGAAATCAAAGGAATTGTAGACCAAGTTATGATGTCTAGGGTGCATGAGGATTCCATAATATGTAAAGATGCTGGATTTAAGCCTTGATGGTGATCAAGGAAAAAGGTCCTACCATTCTACTGTTTTCAAGGGACTGTTAGTGAGGGGAGAGCTTCATCTCTAGTGTTATCGCCTTCAGAGGTGGCCACCTGAGCTTTAAGCTACGGAAGTTGAGAACCGGACAGTTGTACCAAAGGGTAGGCAAGAACGACGGAGAGTGAATGAATGAGAAGCTGTCCTTGAAAGAAGGTGCTACAAGGTCACACCCTCAAGGATCCACTTTCTCACACCAAGGGTAATTTTACAGTCCACATCTTGCTGTTTCCTTTCAGTTCCACGGAGCAAAGGGAATACAAATCCTTCCATTCCCCACCATCCATCCAGTCAGAGCTGAAGAAGCTTCTTAGAGGAAAAGTCCAGTTGCCTCCTGAAAAAGCACCTTTGGGACTTCCGTGGAGCAAGGTTTCCATATTTCTCTACTTCCATTCGGAGGACCATGAAAAACTGGAGTGCTCCCTTCCCAACCTTCTTGCCTTGAGTGAAGGCACCCTCCATTTCAACCTCCAAGAGAAACCCAAACCTATTATCTGACCAGATAGGTTCGGAAAGTCCTTGGCTGTGTCTTCCCACCTTGCAAGCTCTTATCATCTTCTCAAGATCTTCAGAGTCAATAAATAACTGTTTCTCCTACACCATCCATACGGATGTAGGAGCTGAAGTCCAACATATCTCAGAAGACTTGGTCAAAACTGCAAAAGTGGTCGGCCTCCTTCCATGAGCAAATAGATCAACAATGTCATCTCTGTGGCTTGAGTAGCAACCATAATCTCAAGGTTCTAGATGCTCCTGTTGAAGAACCAAGAACGTCAGGTCCCTCAAACTAAAACCCCAATGTGATGCCCGCTGACCACAAAACCACAATGGCATCAGAGAGAGACCTACAGAATTATGAGCCAAGTTTGACACACCAGAGGTTGAGCGGGGTCTAGTTGCCCATGTTCACTCTGCTACCAGGGAAGAGAGCTGGCGGTGGCGGTGGTAGAAGAGGAGGAGGAGGAGCAGGTATGGGGTGCGCGTGAGGATGTCCGAGAGGCAAAGGAAGCGCATGGGAAGGCGAGGACGAATGGAGAGGGACGCCGGTGGCCAGGAGAATTGAGTTGGTGTTTGGAGAAGCGAGGAGACCAAGAGAGTTCGTATCTCGGTTGGCGTCTAAACCGGTGGGGTTGCTGACCTGGAAACACTTCTCCTTGTGAGCCTTGAGCATGTTGGAGAACCGGAAGCGCTGACCGCAGACATCGCAAGGGTAGGGCTTCTCGCCCGTGTGCGTCCGCCGGTGGCGTTTCATGTTGGGGCGACTGGTGAAGCTCTTCCCACAGATCTCACAGATGTATGGTTTTTCGCCTGGAGAAACAGGAGGACACAGAGGGAGGGGAGTCAGGTGTGTTTTCTGAAAACGGCCGGCGGCGGTCACCTTTGCCGATTTTCAAGATGGGAAACTGAGTTAGAGATGATTTAGATTAGGATTCTAGGATTAAGTTGGCACAAGAAGTCTTCCAATATCTCAGGGGCTGCCGCAAAGAAGAGGGATATAATCAGTGGTGGGATTCAAAATTTATTACTACCAGTTCTGTGGGCGTGGCTTGGTGGGCGTGGCAGGGGAAGGATACTGCACAATCCCCCTTCCCTCCCCACCCCACTAACCTGCTTTCCAGCTCCATTCTCCTGTGCAGGGCAACCAAAGGAGACCCGGCCAATCAGCTGGGACTCGGGAGGCGGAGAATAGATGGGGGCGGGGCCAGTCAGAGGGGGTATTTGCCGGTTCTACTCAAAATTTCTGCTACCAGTTCTCCAGAACCAGTCAGAACTGGCTGAATACCTACCTCTAGATATAACTTATTCTCCAAAGTACCTGAGCGCAGGACACAAAGCAACGGATGGAAAATAATCAAGGAGAGGAGCAACCTAGAACTAAGGAGGAATTTCGTGACAGGGAGAACAATTAACCAGTGGAACAGCTTGCCACCAGAAGTTGTTGATGCTCCATCATTGGAGGCTTTCAAAAATAGATTGGACAATGATTTGCCTGGAATAGTATATAGTATTTCCTGCTTGAGAGATGAGTTGGATTAGAAAACCTCCAAAGTCCCTTGCAAATCTGTTCCTGAGTGATCAATGCACTGTACACATAGTCTTCGCCTTATGGCCACAATTGAGCACAAACTTTCTGTTGCTGAGACCGTTGTTAAGTGAGCTTTGCTGCATTTTATGCCCTTTTTTTTTGCCACAGTTGTTATCCCCTTTTGTGACCTGACAGTCAATGGGGAAGCCAGATTCACTTAACAACCATGTTAGTAACATAAACAACTGCAGTGGTTCACTTAACAGCTGTGGCAAAATTCAACGACTGCCTTGCTTAGCAACAGAAATCTGGGGCTCAGTTGTGGTTGTAGTCAAGGACAGCCCGTATGATTCTCTGGCGTGACTTGGGTTTCTGCGCTGGGTTTGTCTGGAGGCCGACATCTCTCTTGGCCAGGCTGAATTGTGAGCATTCACAACAGCTGGGAACAACCACCCAGGTTGCACAAACGAGCTTCCGCCTCTTTCAGGTAAACAGGAAAACTGAACTAGGTTAAGGATGCGGGAAAGGCCCACAAGTCTCACCTGTGTGTGTTTTCATGTGCTCGTCAAAATACTGCTTCATGTTGAAGTCCTTCCCGCACCACTGGCACATGAACTGTTTGTGGCCGATGTGGATGCTCATGTGCGAACGCAGCTGGTATTTGTACTGGAATCGCTCATTGCAATTCTGGGTGGATTCACAAGAGAAAGATTAGAAAAAAAGTGAAAGAGAGAGGGAGTGGGTGGGAAGGAAAGGAGGAAAGAAAGAATGAAAGAGAGAGAGAAGAAAAGAAGGAAGGAATGAGAGGAAGGAAATAAGGGAGGGAGGAAAGAAAGCAAGACAGAAAGGGAGAGAGAGAGGAAGGAAGGAAGGAAAGAAAAGGGAGGGAACGGAGGAAGGAGTGAGAAAGAAAAGGGAAAGAAGGGAGGGAGGAAAAAAAGTAAGAGAGCAGGACAGAGAGAGAAAAGGAAAGAAAACAAAAGGAAGGAAGGAAATGAATGAAAGAAAGAAAAGGGAGGAAGGAAGGAGATGAATGAAAGAAAGAAAAGGGAGGAAAGGGAGGAAGGAATGAGAAAGAAAAAGAAAGAAAAAGAAAGAAAGAAAGAAAGAAAGAAAGAAAGAAAGAAAGAAAGAAAGAAAGAAAGAAAGAAAGAAAGAAAGAAAAGGGAGGAAGGAATGAGAAAGAAAAAGGAAAGAAGGGAGGAAGAAAAGAAAGCAAGAAAGCAGGACAGAAAGAGAGAAAGAAAAAGAAAGAAAACAAAAGGGAAGGAAGGAAGGAAAAGGGAGGGAAGGATGGAAAGAATGAATGAAAGAAAGAAAGAAAAGGGAGGGAAGGGAGGAAGGAATGAGGAAGAAAAAGGAAAGAAGGGAGGGAGGAAAGAAAGCAAGACAGAAAGAGAGAAAAAGGAAGGAAGGAAGGGGAAGGGAAGAGAAGAAAAAAGGAAAGAAATACATCAGTGGATGAATGTAGGAAAGACAGGCCCTTTGCAATATATAGGTAATCCTTGACTTACAACCATTTGTTGGGTGACCATTCGAAGTTACGACGATGCTAAAAACAGTGACCTATAACCAGGCCCTGCACTTGTGACCATCACAGCACCCCCAGATCAAAACTGAAGTGCTTAGCAAGTCACAATGTATTTATGCCAGTTGCAGCATCCTGGGGTCAGCTGATCACTGTCTGTGGCTTTCCCAGCAAAGTCCCAGAGGGGAAGCCGGATTCACTTAACAACAATGCAACTCACTTAACAACCGCAACAATTCATGTTAACAACTGTGGCCAAAAAGGTCGTAACATCAGGCACAACTCACTTAACAACTGCCTTGCTTACTAACTGAAATTCTGGTTCTATCTATCTGTCTGTCTGTCTAGCCTTCCTTCCTTCCTGCCTACCTTTCTAATCTATTTATTTCTTAAATTTATATGCTACCTTGCAGTCCTGCGGCTGGTTGCAATGTGCAATTGCGTCATAAATCAAGCATTATTTAAGCTTAAGAGAAACTACATTATGGATAGGAAAAGCTCACCTTTTACACCTGAATTTCCAGGTAAGCTGCAAACATTTTTTTTTTATCTAGACTTAAGTACTTTTCATAGGCCATTCTTCTTGAGCCCAACAATTGGCGGTTGTTAAGTGAATCACACCCCATTTTATGACCTTTTGGACATGGTTGTTAAGAGAGTCACCCAGGGGTGGGCTGCTGGGGGTTCGGGAGAGCCCCCAGCTAAGATTCTGGGCAGTTCAGAGGACCCCCAAATCCCACTCCTGGCTGGCCCCGCCCACCCCTCCCATTTCTGAATGGTTGTTAAGTCAAGGACTAATTCCCTACAGCCCATTCCTGTCATTTGTGAATACACACAACATTTTAGAAGTGAGATGCCGGAAGGAATGGATAAATGAAAAAACACTTCCTACGCCTTATATACTGGAGTTTGACATACAGGTGGTCCTCGACTTAACAACCAAAACCGAGCCCCACATTTCTGTTGCTAAGCAAGACCCTTGTTAAGTGAGTTTTGCCCCATTTTACAACTTTTCTTAGGTCGTTGTTAAGCGAATCGCTGCAGTTGTTAAATTAGTCCCACGGTTGTTAAGTGACTTTGCTTGTCAGAAGGCTGCCAAAGGAGATCACGCATGATCCTGGAAACACCGCGACCGTCATAAATATGAGTCAGATTCTGAATTTTGATCATATAATTCTGGAATGTTGCCATGGTCGTAAGTGTGAAGAGCGGTCCTCAGTCCCGCTTTTCAGTGCTGTCGCTAAATGAATGGTTGTAAATCGAGGACTATCTGTAAAGTTGGGTTTACGAATCATATTAAGAATGTTCTCCCAGATCTCAGAAAATGGGGCCGGGTTTCAAAAGGCGAATGGTCAATGGGGTCATCTTCTTTTGACCACCCCATAATCCTTTGCAGGGTGGAGTCTGTGCAACTGAATGGAGCTGAATTTTTACTGGCCGGATGCTCTTCCTGTCACCAATGTGGAGTTTTGTTCAGCAGATATATATTCTCATTGTGCCCAGAGAGAGAAATATCTGTCTCTACCTAGGGATCGAATTCACAGCCTCCTGATTGTGAGGCCAGAACTCCACTTCTAGGCCACCCACACCACTCCACAAACGGGACGACACCCCAAAACGGATTCTCACCTCACATTTGAATGGCTTCTCGCCTGAGTGCTGGAGGGAATGGACTTTCAGTGACATGCTTCGCTTGAAGGACTTCCCACACGTCTCGCAGGTGAACGGCATGTCCTTCGTGTGAGCTACAAAGTGGAGAAAAACCAGGGTTGTCTTCTAAAGCCTCCCAGGCACGACCGAGGCCCAGCTACATGGTCTTGGCTTAAGACCCACGACCAGAGATAATCTCTGCTGGGAGAGGACATAAAACTATGGAGCCCAGAGATCAGGGGGGTCAAACTCAAGGCCTGCAGGATGGATCCGGCCCATGGGGTGCTTAAATCTGCCTGTGTTTGGTCAAAAATGCTCTAAAAGATATTGCAAACGGCTGTGTTAAGCATGTCTGACTCAGGAATTCTGGGAGTTGAAGTGCAAAATGGCTGGCTCAGGAATTCTGGGAGTTGAATTCCAACATGGGTACTCAGGAATTCTGGGAGTTGAAGTCCAACATGGCTGGCTCAGAAATTCTTGGAGTTGAAATTAAAATGGCTGACTCAGGAATTCTGGGAGTTGAATTCCAACATGGCTGACTCAGAATTTCTGGGAGTTGAATTCCAACATGGCTGACTCAGAAATTCTGGGAATTGAAATGCAAAATGGCTGGCTCAGGAATTCTGGGGGTGGAATTCCAACATGGCTGACTCAGGAATTCTGGGAGTTGAAGTGCAAAATGGCTATTCAGAAATTCTGGGGGTGGAATTCCAACATGGCTCAGGAATTCTGGGAGTTGAATTCCAACAT